CCCCTTGCTGTACCCGGTAACACTCGGTGTGTATATGTGTGAGTGTTGCAGTCCCCGGTAACTTGTGCAGTCCGTCTCTACCCCTTGCTGTACCCAGTAACACTCGGTGTGTGTATATGCGAGTGTTGCAGTCCCCGGTAACTTGTGTAGTCCATCTCTACCCCTTGCTGCACCCAGTAACACTCGACGTGTGTATGTGTGAGTGTAGTAGTCCCCATTTACTTGTGCAGTCCATCTCTACCCCTTGTTGTACCCGGTAACACTCGGTGTGTGTATGTGTGAGTGTTGCAGTCCCCGGTAACTTGTGCAATCTGTCTCTACACCATGCTGTACCCAGTAAGACTCGGCGTGTGTATGTGCGAGTGCTGCAGTCCCCGGTAACTTGTGCAGTCCATCTCCGCCCCTTGCTGCACCCAGCAACACTCGGCGTGTGTATGTGTGAGTGCAGCAGTCCCCGGTAACTTGTGCAGTCCGCCTCTACCCCTTGCTGTACCCAATAACACACGGTGTGTGTATATGTGAGTGCAGCAGTCCCCGGTAACTTTTGCAGTCCGTCTCTACCCCTTGCTGTACCCGGTAACACTCGGTGTGTATGTGTGAGTGCTGCAGTCCCCGGTAACTTGTGCAGCCCATCTTTACCCGTTGTTGTACCCAGTAACACCTGGTGTGTGTATGTGTGAGTGCTGCAGGCCCCGGTAACTTGTGCAGTCCATCTTTTCCCCTTGCTGTACCCGGTAACAACCGGTGTGTGTATGTGTGAGTGCTGCAGTCCCTGGTAACTTGTGCAGTCCATCTTTACCCCTTGCTGTACTTAGTGACATTCGGTGTGTGTACGTATGAATGCCGCAGTTCCCGGTAACTTGTGCAGTCTACCTTTACCCCTTGCTGTACCTGGTGACGTACGGTGTATGTGTGTGTGTGTGTGTGCGGGCTGCAGTTCCGTCCCTTCCCCATTTTTACTGTGACCGGTGACTTCCGAAAGTGATATGGGGCAGCCAAGCCCCCGGAGTAGAGAACGGAGGCACGGGGCTTGGGGTTAGGACGCGTCCAACGAACCTTCTATCACGTCCATCCTATATAGCCAGACCACCCCAACCCTTCTTCTTCCTCCTTCACTCACACCCCGTCCACCATAACCAACCATCCTTGACCCTCCTTCCTCCTCCATCATCCATACCCGTCCACCGTAGCCGTCCACCCCCAACCCTTCTTCCTCCTCCATCATCCACACCCATCCACCATAGCCGACCACCCTCGACCCTCCTTCCTCCTCCATCACCCACACCCGTCCACCATAGCCGACCGCCCTTGACCCTCCTTCCTCCTCCATCACCCACACCCGTCCACCATAGCCGACCACCCTCGACCCTCCTTCCTCCTCCATCACCCACACCCATCCACCATAGCCGACCACCGTCAACCCTCCTTCTTCCTCCATCACCAACACCCGTCCACCATAAGCCGACCACCTCCAACACTTCTTCTTCCTCCATCACCCACACCCGTCCACCATAGCCAACCACCTCCAACCCTTCTTCTTCCTCCGTCACCCACACCCGTCCACCATAGCCGACCACCCTTAACCCTCCTTCCTCCTCCATCACCCACACCCGTCCACCATAGCCGACCGCCCTCAACCCTTCTTCCTCCTCCATCACCCACACCCGTCCACCATAGCCGGCCACCCTCCACCCTTCTTCCTCCTCCATCACCCACACCCGTCCACCATAACCGACCACCTCCGACCCTTCTTCTTCCTCCATTACCCATACCCGTCCACCATAGTCAACCACCCCCAACCCTTTTTCCTTCTCCATCACCCACACCCTTCCACCATAGCCAACCACCCCCAACCTTCCTTCCTCGTCCATCACACACACCCGTCCACCATAGCCGACCACCTTCAACCCTCCTTCCTCCTCCATCACCCACACCCGTCCGCCATAACCGACCACCCTCAACCCTTCTTCCTCCTCCATCACCCTCGCCCTTCCACCCAAAAGTCTTAGGGGGTCGCAAGGGGGATGCACGGGAACTCGAATAGGATCGATTAGGGGAAGTCAATGAACAAGGTCGATTGGGATGAGAAGCTTCTTGTCTCTCTCTCTCTCTCTCTCTCTCTCTCTCTCTCTCTCTCTCTCTCTCTCTCTCTCTCTCTCCCCTTCCCTCTCCTCCGTCCTCCTCCATTCCTTCAAAAACTCTTTTACCCTTAACCCTTCCGTCACTCCTCCCCCTCCATGGCATATGACTAACCTCTACCCTCACCCGTTACATTGCCAGGGAACGAACGGAAAGAAACTTGGTCCTCACTTGGGGGAAAGCGAGGGCAAGGGAAGGGCTGTCGGTCCCGTGTGCTGCCAAGAAGGAACGGATACGAGACTATTGAGAGCATTTGTGAAAGCAAAAAGGAGTGTTGTTTTTGGACCAGGTCAGTTTGACTCAACCATACTCCCGGCCTGCATGACTAAGGGATTGCATGACTTGCTTGTGGGAAAGGGAAGGGAACTCATAAGGGGAGTTGGAAGGCAAAGGGGGCTGAGGATTGAGGGAAGGGGTGATGCGTTTACCCCAATGGGGATTGTACTTGGTCATTTGTCTTGTGTGGTCTTGCGCAGGTGAGTAGGCTGGGACGATTCGGACGGGGCTGGATCCACGGTTGAGGACTAGGGTGGGAGAATTGGTTAAGGGAAGGACTTGGACCTCGCATAAGCTATGGATGCGGGATGGGTTGTATGGTCGGATGGTCGGATGCTTGGAGGAATAGTAGACGCCTGGATGTGGTTGCGTGATGGTTGAATGCAATGGCTCTCTCGTGAATGCAATTCAAGCCTGGAAGGACTAAGGGTTGCCTTGGATAGGTGGATGTGATGCTAGTGGCTCTCGCAAAAAAAAATATAGGGGCTAGGGGTTCGGGTGACGCCGCCTCGCCCCGAGGATGCTGTTGAGGCTGTCCCGAGCCCCTAGACTTAGTGAAAAGGTGCGTGGCCCAGTGGATGACGCTTGGCCTGCGCACGGTAAGAAGACAAACTCTCAATGAACTCCCTGGACTGCCTGAGTATTGGAAAGAGCAATTGCCTGGTCAAACTTAATTGTATCAAGAAAATGCCGCGAGTGACCAAAGAGTTACCATCTTGACGCCAGAGCGGAGCTACATCCCCCAATGTAAAGCCCTCTCGCAAAAGGCCCATCCCCATCCATCTCAAAGCACTAGGTGGGGGTGCCCCTGGGACGAACGACCCGCGCCCTGAGTGTGAGCGTGGGCGGGTCGAGCCAAATGGGACCCTCAGTGGGGTCGACCGAGGCTCGAAAGTCCTTCAGGGTACGGCCCTTACACCAGTACGCTCGCTATCTCCTCTAAGCGTACCGGAAGAGGAACATCGTACCCCACAGTCGTCTCTCTCGGCCCTATCAGCTTCCTCACTCTATAGGAGTTTGAATCGCGCGTCAGAACGTAAGCCGACCATACATCCGAGTCACTCCCACATCACGCCGTCTGCCTCATCGATGTGAGTGCGAATGTCCCTTATCTCTGATCCGTGTGACCAACTCTATCATCTCGTGCCATCCATACCTAGATAGGTTTTTCCCTATGACTTGAGGAGTCGGAATCCCTTCAAACACTTCGATCACAGTATCCCAACTAACTACCTTCCCTTCTTGTTGTAATCGTACCACCTATCCTGCCACCAATGTAGCAGCGCTCTTCCAAGCCTTGTCACTCAGTCCCCCCTTGCCCGGGTCCCTAGTTTTGCAGTCGTATTTGTCTAGGCTAACAAAGCGATAGGTAAGAATGTACATGCACCAAGGATCTATCCCTCCTCCCTGGACATAGTCGTATGTAACGAGCTCGTATGGGAGAACCTCTCTCCTCGTCTTCTCGTTCAGGGATCGTATGACGTCATTGATTTCCTCTCTTGTACGGCCTCGTCCCTTGGTGAGTAGTTGGTCCCAATATACCCGTCTAAAGGACATGACATGTCTGCCCATCTGTAATCACCACCATCGTCTCTACCTCTCTCCTAACTTCTTTCTCCTTCCACCACGCGTAGCCTCCATCACTGAACCTCTTCCGCGTCCAGCATATCCACATCAGCATCCTCACCTATCTCGCGTCCCCAAGGGATATGCTCCTGCCCCTCGGCTCGGTGGAGGTGCCCCCAACAGTTGTTGCGCCAGAAAGCGCACAGCCGCCTTGTGACCTCCGAAGTAGGATTCACACAGATGCGCCACAATGCGCTCTGTGGACAGCCACGCCCTTGCAGCTGTGAGCCTGTAAGATAGGGCTCTGCCAACCGGGCTTTCAGATCCTGACCGAAGCACTGATGGGGTCTGGATATTCCACGTGCGTTTCTCTTTCCACTGAGTTCCCTCCTTCCTCCGTCTGTCAGCGGAGAGCGGACGGTGAACACCTGACTCACCTCGGCCTAAAGCCCCTCCGATCACGCCTCGCGCCCTGCCAAGGATCAGTCGGATCAACCGTCAGTTGTGTGCACCTGTTGTACCTTCACTGGGCTTGCGCAAGGTGGGCTGCGTACACCTGGCCCGTCTTGTTGTTGTCCCCCTGTCCGAATCCTCCCTTCTGCCTTGCTGGCCAGACTTATATTCTACACGATTGGCCTCTGCTGACTCACTAGGACGCAGCCTCAAACGGAGTGCAAGCATTTTTGGTACTGGCTGTCCCAGGCCCACAAACCCGGATACCCCCCATCGCTGGTACCAAGGCTTTCGACCTGCGAGTCCCGGATCGATCATCCTGGATTAGTGCCCGTAACTTAAGAAATGTTGCGATTGCTGAATGAATGATCTGGACCGAGTCCCTGGACCGCGCCAAGTGCCACACCATGGAATAACGGTTTTGGTTCACAGTAAAGCATACCAATTCCAAAGCAGCACCGGACAAAAAATGACAGCATCGATCTGCCTCGAGTTTTAGCAATATCGGGCCAGCGACCATACCCAAAATAAATAGTACCGAACTGTCGTGAGTCCTAACAGTGTTGGAACAGTGACGAACCTGAAATGTTCCTTCCCAACAACAGCGGCCTGTTCCAATCCGATGTCGTACGCCGCATAATGTCGTAATTATCGTACCTGTTCCGTACCCATTCCGAACCTGAAAATAAGTATCAGCCCGCAGTACCGCATTGAAGCCGAACCAATAAATGTGCCATTCCGAACTAACGGCCATTCCGGTCATCTCAACAGTGAACCGAAGTAGCCCGTACCGATGCTGCTCCAATGATAGTACCATACCAGGTCCGAACCAGTACCGAACCTGAAAGGATTCTTCCCAATAGCAGCAGCCTATTCCGGTCCAAGTGTCGAATACCGTGTGATACATCAAATACCGTAGCAGTCTCATACCTGTTCCGAACCTGCAACCGTACCAGATCAAACTAGTATACCGTACCGAGCCACAAATGCACCACGTGATCACCATGCCGCCGTAACCCAAAGACCGGACCCAGATTATGGAGAGGGTAAAATCAGGCAAATTAGGTAAGTCGCGTAAGCGATAGCAATTATCGGGAAATGGTGAGAATCGCTTGAATCGCGATAAATAAATAACCCGGGGCTAAACCCCATTGCGAATAATCCAAATAAATCTTAATCAAATACTGAATAATCACTAGTTTTCTTTTCCTTTACCAGCTTTAGTTATTTTCTCGTTTTTAGTTCGGTCATGGAGAAATAAAAAATGAAGAGCAATTTCATCATAAATAAATTATGACGGAATTTAAGTAAATAATAAATATTCCTTCGTTTTTCTTTCCTTTAATTATCTTTAATTATTTTTCTCACATTATCGAAAATAATAAAAATAATAGATAATTTGCTCAAGAACGAACTCGATAAAAATTTAAATAATTAACAATTATCCCGCTATTCTTGCCCCTCCTGTTGTTTTCAATTCTTTTCCCTAAATTTAATTTTGATATTAAAATTAACAAAATTCGTGGGGTCATTCCGACACCAATTGCATGATGCAAAAGATTCGCGCCGAGGCCCATGTCCGTATTTCCGTCCCAGGGCTAGCCGCTCCGGAATTAGCCTCGGAACAGACGAGAACAATAGGTACTAGGCGCAACAAGTATGGTCGTTCCTTTCGTCGATTTCAAGGGTCATTGTTAATCGTGGACATGGAGAATATTAGGGGTCTCTCTCCGACCCCTAATTTCTCCCGACGGCTGAGACGAAAGTCCCGATCAATCCCTCTTTGGGCAGATAATCTAAGGGTTAATCCATCGGATTTCGGGTGTCTGACTGACCTTCGGCCGCCCGACAAACAAGCCCGGAACTCCTCTCGACTCCCCCGTCGAGCCCGCACCGCCATAATCAGATGAATCGTATAAGATTTGGACTGATCACATGAGCGCGGCTCTTATGTCTGCGCTTACCTGTCTGGCGCTTGGGTTTCTCTGGAACTCTAGGACCGAGAGTGTGTTACTTCCCTCTCTTATGTCGAGGTCGTTTGGACTTAGATATAGGGATATTTCTCAATTTCTTTCTTCGTGGGGGTGACAGTGCAGCAAATGCGCCACCTCGTCTAATGCGGACTCCGCGCTTAGGCCTTCGTAGCAAAAAAAAACATTTCCTTTTCTTTCCCAGAGTCAAGCCCTTCACTTTCCTGGTCTCTACTCTCTTTCTCTTTTTCAAACTCTCTCCTATCTCGAACCGTCTTGTCGGTCCTTCATTTGTCACCTTGACTTTACCCTCACTCTTGGGATCCGATAGTGTCTTCGCAGAAACAGGGGGTTCCCTTGGCCTAAACAACTTCAGTCTAGCCCCTGCCACATGATCCTTCCACTTAGACCCATCTAACACAGCAATCATATATGCTCCCCAACTGAGTGCGCCGACCACGCGATAAGGTCTCATCCATCTGTTCGCCAACTTTCCTGACCATGTCCTTTCTAGCGCTGCATCGTAAAGAAGTACCATGTCACCCACAATTATCTTCTCCTTTCTAACCCTGACATCCTTATCCCATTTTTTCTTGCCTTTGCCTCTTTCCACCGCCAATCGATCGGATGCGGTGATCAGTTTGTCCTCTAACCCGTAGGCTATCTTTCTAGTTTTAGCTACCAGAAGCTCCTCTCGTGACATGCTTTCCCCTAGTCTGCTGTAGTCCAACTATCAACATGAAACTCTATGGGCAGAGGGTAGTGCCTCCCGAACCATAGAGTGTAAGGCGGGTATCCTGTGCTAGCTCGAACTGTGACATTATCTGCCCATATCACATACCGGAAGTATTTTGGCCAGTCGCTATCTTTACCTCTACACCACTTTGAAAGTGATGCTATGAATGATTGATGGCCTCGTTCTACAAGTGCATTGGATTGAGGATGATAGGTGGTAACTATTGATACTCTAGCCTTCGCTTTCTTGAACACATTTTGCACCTCGTCCGTTAGGAACTCCGCTCCCTTATCCATCACAATCCTACTGACACATCCATACATAGACAGATACTCAAGAACAAAGTTCTTGACTTCCTTTGCCGCCTTTGTTCTGATAGGCTTTCCATCGACAAACCCAGTGAAGTCATCTCTAATGTTCACGACATAATTCATATTTCCTACGCCCTTTGGCATCTTAACTAGATCGATGTGCACCTTCTCGCCCGATCAAGTAAGATAGGACGGATGAAGTGGCTCCTTATATCTCACAAACGATTTCTTCTTATACTCCTCACAGGTCATACAATGCTTTTCAACGTCCTTGTACTGACCTTCCCACCAGTATAGTTTGCGGACCTTCTCATATGTCCCTTTCACTCCTCTATGTCCACCGACCACACCGTCATGTAGTTCCGCTACTATGGACTGCTTCTCTTCCGGATCACAGATCACTCGCAGAGGCATTCCTGATCCTGTAGGTATGCGGAAATGCCCAGATCTAAAGCAGTACTACACTGCCTGTCTCCTAATCTCCGAGTCTGAATTCTCCTGTCGAGATAGATGCAACCTGATCGTCCGATACTTACCCTCATAAAGGTTGACTAGGAATCGATCAGTCCGTCTTGGTCATAGTCAGTGCAACTGTCACTATTGATCGCTCAACCTCGATCGAAATTCGAGAAAGTCCATCGGCTACCGCATTCTTTGTTCCCGAGATTCTCTCTAGAGTATAATCGTAGAGTCGGATCCTGATCAACCATCGCACAATCGTGGGATTTGTCAGACTGAAGTCTTTCTGTAAAACTGACGCCACAGTAGTAGGATCTACGCGTAGAATGAATCGTCCCCCGTATATGTAGTGCCTAAAAGCGTCTAGACACCGTAAGACAGCTAACACCTCCTTTTGACTGTAGTTACGTTCCGCGGTGTTAAACGTTCGACTCTCGAACCTCAGCGGCATCTCTTTGCCGTCAGCGTCCTTCTGTGAAAGCAGTCCTCCAACCGAACATGGTCCAGCATTGGTAGACACTATCAAGGGTCTGTTGGTTTCGTCCTCGAAAAATGGCACACCTAGGATTTGTCCCCCTTCCTTAAATTCCTCCTTCAGGGTTAATACCGCAAGCTCCTGAGGAGAATCCCAGTAGAATCGCTCAGTTTTTCTAAGGAGAGTCCGTAGAGGCTTTGCCTTCTCTGCGTATTCCTGTATGAAGATCCGCCAGTAACCTACGACTTTTAGGAATTTGCGGACTTCGGTAGTGCTATGCAATGGGGTCGGCGAGTTTAGGAGTTTATCTAACTTTGCTTGGTCCACCCAGCAACCTCTCGAATCACATATGAACCCTAAAATATTTATCGTCGAGACTGCTCATCGGCTCTTCGTCCCACTAACCATTAGATTAGCTTCATCTAGTTGTTCCAAGACCCCGTAGATGTCCGTTAGATGCTTCCTTACGAATCTCCTGACGTCAGGAGCAACCTCCATCTCATCTTTAAATACGGGCCCTTTTATTGGGAAGTCGTCCAAAAAGACTTCAACTTTGTTAGGAATGAAGTCCTTTATAACAACAACCATAGCTCTCTGGAAGACCGCAACCCCATTGGTCCACCCCATGGGCACGACCATCATCTGCACTWATYCGAGCGGYGTGTGCATGRMAGTGAGATGCCTATSCCTAGGATCTAGGGGTATCTYATCATAACTTGAAAATAGATCGCAAACAGAGTAGATGGATCTGCCTGCCGCTCCTTCTGCTAATAGATCAGCGTGCGGTATGGACCCCACATCCYGTATARTAACYRCGTTAACCTTCTGARGGTCYTGAATCCACCGGATCTTMCSATTAGGCTTCCGTTAGAAGAACCACCTATTCGCGTACGCGCTATCAGATGGTTCMGCCACATGTGACGCCATCTTCTYTTTTAGGAASGCSATTACCTCTTCCTTATCTTTCTGTGCGAACTTCYAGTCTGCATCATTCCATGGAGYATGCGGAATCGTGTAGATCCTAGCAGGTTTGGCATACCTAGGACCGATTCTTCCTCTTTCCGCGTCACTAAAAGCTATGGCCTTATCGCAAGTTTTAAGAACTTCTAGCGTGCGCTCCTTCTCTTGTTCCCTCAAATTTTCATCTCCTATGTCCATCTCCACTATCCTTTCTTCTGTCAGCCGTTGCGGCTCCTTCTTCTTCCTTTCTTTTATCTTCCTGGCGATCTCCTCCTCATATACCCCATCTAGTGCTGATCGTTCTCGGGCTACCGCCGCCAGCTTAACTTTCTAAGCTACTGTCTTGTGCTTCTTTGGTCGCCCTCCGTAGGGGGCTGCGCCCTTAAAAAAGACACAGAGATCATACCTTCAAATTCCTTGTCTTCACGCTTTGGGTAGGGGTTTTCTCCCACAAGGACGTGATTACCTAAGTCCTCGACTTCCACTATGCGTCCTTCTTCTTTTGTGAGCAATGCCCCATACTTCTTCTCACGGAATCGCAACGAGCAACTCACGAGCGTGACCGGCTTGCGGCCGCCACCAGCTGCTAGGGCCGCTTTGTTCCTCGCATTACGAGGCTCGAATGTCTCTATCATAATCCGTCCACCATCCGGACGATTAATAGAAAGCATCTGGCTTCTGTCCGGTCGCTCTATAGTAACCGCATGAAAATGGCTCAACCACGTCCGCCCTACTAGTAACTCCGAACTGCAGTCCCTGACCGTGAAAACAGGCATCAGCACGCGCAACCCTTCGACCTCAATGACCGTCTTGTGACAGACTCCAAAGATCTTCTGCTTTCTTCCATCGACTGCCTCTATTTCGAACAGGTAAGACCTGTCAAGGTCCATCCCTAATCGCACAGCGAGTTCCTCTTCTATGATGACAGCTTCGCTGCCATTGTCAATCACCCCATGAAGAACTATCTCGTCATTGAGAATAGTCTCCACTGTCCTACTCCCTAAAATGTAAAACTTGTCAGGAGGCACGCCTTCCATTCCATCCAAGTACACCGTCGCCGCGCGTTCTGCCTTTGCGCACACTCCTGATACTGCCAAAGAGGGTACCTCTGGTTTGGAAGCCATATGGACTTCGTCTCCCAGGGGAATGCACGTCTTGCACGTGGTCATCTGTAACTCATCTCGCGCGGGTCTCGAAGCCGCCAGATACTCTAGTATAGTGCACTGCATTGGTTGCCTGAGCGCGTGTCTGAGAGGCTCCACTGTATCGATATCGTCTAAGGTGCTCTTCATGGTAAGCTTTCGGGCTCCGCGCTTGCGCGGCGAAAGTATGACTTCCTCTCCTTCAATCCTCTGTCCATCCTTCTCTGCCATCACATAATCCGTGTCAGTCTTCTTAGAGGAAGACCCCCTTGCGGACTTTGTCGCCGCGACCCGTATAGGTGTCATAGACGCCCCATCATCAGAAGACAAACTCATTCGCACACCCTGGCTCCTTGCTACTTCTTTACCCCTACTTGGTCATACACGCCTGGCCTCAACGTTCTCGTTCATCGAAGGGAACATCGATACGTCGCCGATGTCATCTGCCCACTTGAAGTACTTGCCATCATCAAGTACGACAAGTCCTTCATCTATAGCTCGCCTGAGGTCAGGACAGTCCCTCTTCACGTGATCATCTGCCCTGCAATAGATGTAGGAATTCCTAGGAGTAGTGGGTCTCTCTTCAGGCCCCTAATAGTTGGCCTTCTCGCAGACCTAACATCTTGGGTGGACGGTCTCAAGAACTTGGGATAGTTTGGAGATTTTGGGTACCCGGGTGACGCAGGATATCCTCCTCGATCATACTGCCCAAGTGGATCTTCCCGATGACCTCCTCCTTGCTCTGTCCTCTCGTAACCGCCACGATATCCATCATGGCGGTCCCTGTTCGATTCCCATCTGCCGCGGGAGTCGTCTCTGTCCCTCGGGTTAAAATTACCTGGGCTCCGATATCCTTCCATGTTCCCTCTATATCCGGGATTGCGCGGGTATTGTTTCAGTCTTCCCCCTCGGCTAAAAGCGTGTCAGTCTCCTCATCCCTACGTCGCCATGCATCGTCGTCCCTCTCTTTCGCGTGATAGTCCGCTAGTGTGCGAGGGTTTCTATCCTCCATGCTCCTCCATGGGTCGGTGGTCCTGCGGTCCCATCGTAAGGAATAGGGGGACCCTGACTTGTCTCGATAAGTAGTGGCCCCCGTCTTTGTCTCGATATTGATCATTTGCCTGGCCAATCCCTTCATTATCTCTCTCATTTCTCTCACCTCGTCTATCACCGTCTCTCTGTTTCTCGGTCGGTGTGGTCTGTCCTTATCCATTAAATATCGTTGTTCCGCCCAAGGCTGATCGTCAAAGTCTGGACACCTCTCCTCATTGTACTCTCGATAGAGGGAGAAGTCCCGACGTTGCATTCCTCTCCAAATTAGGTCCTTGTAGTCGTCGGCTTCAGCCTTCATCGCCAACTTGAGCACCGACGCAAAATCTAACTTATCGTGAGACATCTCTCTCATTACTCCCTTCTGCTTACCTTTAGGTAGTCGACCGATGAAGGTCGCGCATCTTTTGACCTCCGACAACTTCCCTTTTGCAATAAGGGCATCGAATATCTTCTGGAACCGCCTCCCAAAGGCTTGGACACTCTCGTCCTCCCCCTGAGCCATCACCTCAAAATCTCAGATGGAATACTTGACGTCTTCCAGCTTAAAGAACTCATAGAGAATGGCTCTGTAGGTAGTCTACCTCCTGTCCTTCGGTCGAGCCTCTTTAATCACTTGACTCAAGCTCGGGTCCGTGTTAAGTAACAAGTTATCTATAATTTCGTCCTCCGACCATTGACTACAGTATCCGTGCAGCGTCCACTTCTCGAGATACTTGGTGATACTGTATCCCTTGAAAATAGGGGGTTTGGATATCACTCAGAAGGTTGGTGCGAGATGATGTACGTATCTCTCCTCTCGTAAGGTAGGGAGTACGACTCGCCCGTCTGCAAGTCGTAGATCCTCCTGGGCGGTGTGACTCTCTCTTTGTCTCTCCAAAGCTGCTCCCGAATGTACTAGTCCGTCCAGTCATCCCTACCTCGGTCACCTCTAGCGTCTCTTCGTTCGTACGTAGGTGAGCGTCAAACGGTCGACTCTCGCCGAAAACTCGGAGGTTCGGTTCTGCTCTCCATCCGTACTACCGTGGCGGCCTTGTTTGGCTCTGCAATGACCGGACAGGCCATTACCTTTGGCTTCCCGTCGTCGGGTTGCTCTATACATCTCAATGGAGCGTTCTGTCGGATACGCTCCTTGAGGTCTCGGAGAGCGCGATACGATGATGCCCGGTACACAGCAGTCTGTTGTTCCACATCCGAATGTGGACCCATCGTGTCCGACTGCATACACTTTACTTCCCTTTCTGGCTTGATTTTATTTCAGGAGTCTATTATCCTTATCACCCGAGCAAGCAGCCCGGACCTAACGTCAAAACAGGCAACCCGAACCTAATGTTAGAACCAACAGCCCGGACCTAATGTCATGACAGGCAGTCCGGACCTAATGTCAGAACTAGTAGCCTGGACCTAATGTCAGAGCCGACAGTCCGGACCTAATGTCAGAACCGACAGTCCAGACTTAATGTTAGAACCAGTTCTGTCGATTTCTAAATGCCTAACCGCCCTCAATATTACTATCAGTCTTCCGCTCTCATCTCGGATCTTGTGTATCCCTTCAATACCTAGTATCCCACTATCAAGGAAAAGTCGCCCTTCCTGACCTTCTATACAGACAACACCTCTCTTGACCTCTAACACTCCTGTCTCGGGGCACCTGACTCCCCTACAAATCGCATTCCCTATAGCGCATAACTCCTCGCAAGTACAAACTCGCAACCGCTCTCGTAAATCGATCGATGTCCTCCTCTCTAGGTCGTCCAACTCTTGTCGTACTGCACTAGCTCCCGCCAGCGGGTACTCACTTCCTCTTGCCATCAAACCCCTGATGTCGTAAGGCAAGTTTAACCACGGTGCCGAAGTTTCTCTTCTGCGCAATCTGATACGGAGTTGGAGGCTTAGGGAGTCATTCAAAGATCATTATCCGCGTGTTCCAGTTAACGTTTCCCCCCAGGGATAGTAACCTATCTCTTTCACTTTCTACAAACTCTTCCGCACGCTTCCAACATCGACCGTACACAAGATCCACTTCTCTCTCCCTAGGCAGGTAGATCCTCACATCATACAAGTCTAAATGGATAAACACAACGGTCATCACATAAAGACGTATCTCCTCTCATCCGCTATCCACAAGCTCGTACCTCTCTACCTCATACAGGATCGCTTCTTTCGTCCCTAGGGAACTCAACAGGCCACAGATAGTCGCTAGGCTCTCCTTGGGCGGTCTGTTTTTGGCAAGAAACCTCTCTCTTCTCAACTCCAGGTCGCGACTAGAGATGTTTCTCCCTTCACTCATTCCCACATCCTATTTTCTTCTTGTCGATTTCTTGGGACCACTCCTCGTTCCGACCATCCTAGCGAAGTCTACTATTGCCTCCCCACCATTTCTCTCTAATCCTCGGTCCGGAATCGGCGGTCTTGGCAACCCGTCAAAAATCGAAATGTCGTCACAGGCTTCAACAGTTTTCCCTAAATCTTCCAATCTCTTATTCTCTTCCCTTAACTTCCAGGGGGCTATCCTCCAGCACCTCGTGTAGACACTGAACTCCTCGTGCTCCCTAGGTAAATATATACCTACGTGGTATACCCCTAAGTCGGGAAAGTATACGATCGTTACATAAAACTGATTTATGTTCCAACCGCTGTTTGCTTCCTGATACCTGACTACCTCGTAGGGAAAAATTTCCCGTCTGCTAATTGCGCTCAAACTTTTGAGTACTTTCTCGTGCTCAAGTTTACTGGGTCCGCTCCATTCAAAAAACTTCCGCCTTCTTCGCGCTAGCTCCTCCTCCGGTAGTGACATCTCTTATCCGTCCCCATGAGCCACCTAGCATTCCATCGCAGTTAACACTAGGGCCAACGGGATTCTCTCCGCAGAATTGTCTAAGAATGCGTAGAACGTCTCGAAGTCGTCTATATCCCAAAATCTACAACATCCGCTAAGGTCTTAATCATTTCCTTCCAGTACCGGTTGTGAACCTTGAGCATTCTAAGAACGAAGCTGTCCACTATGAACCCCGTTAACTCTCCAGCCTTCTTCGCCTCCCTCTCCAAGAGTCTCACAACCTCTCTAGGGGACTTGTGCCACGCTCTACACAAGGGTTGCTCATCGAAGGAAGACACACACAATACATACTTAATCAGACGCACACGCTCCTCTCCTACCCAGAGTCCGGTCTTTCGCGCTTCCCTCACCGCTTGTCGAGTACACTTTGCTTCTTCGATCACATTGAGCCTCGCTAGGTGTTATAATTGTATCACTACACAGACCGCCGATCCATCTAACTTCCCTATGACATGCAAGGAAAACTTATCATTGGTATACTCACTCATTTCGCTCATCGTCTCCTTTCATTGCCCCGACGTTCCTTCTACATCATCATTTTCTTTCAGTGCTGTAGCCTCTGACCGCTCCTCTGACCTTTCCGCCGACTTCAATGACCGCTCTGATCCCTCGCTATTATGATCTCTCGCCTTGACGCTTTCCAGAAAGTCTAAACGCCACCTCCTGAAGAATTCTCTGTCCTCTCTAAAGAGTCTCTCTAACGCCCTCGTCGCTGCTTCTATTCTATGCAACTCACTCTCACTCTTGTTGGATCCACATTCCCGAATCTTGTTACCCAGCTCCTTGATTTGTTTTGACACGGGGTCTAAGATACGATCCTTGACTCTCTTCTGCCTCTCTTCTATATTTTTCATTCTCTGCAACTCTCTCTAAGCTCCAAACGCCTATCACATCTTACTCCGAGCTTTCGTGGGTGTCTCGTCTCGAACTATCTCTAAGCACACTCTTCCCTTCACGCACAGAGTCACCTCATACACCATCCAACCTTGTGTTGTTACTTCTCTCAGCGCTCCTAACCTCTGCTCTCCTATGACATCCTCGACAAGTTCCTTGTATTCACTATCCGAGAGTTCCTCATTTATACTCACCCTCATCAGAATCTGTCGTGTCCTGTCGTCGGGTGCTAAGTGTCTAGAAACAGCTCGAGCATACGGGAGTCGTCGCAAGGAGGACTCATATCACTCATCAGCTGGCAGACGGCTCGTCACTCTCTCATGAGCGGTCACTCGAGGATTCCTATTATCCACGCTCTTCCAGGAGTCAGATCCTCTGCGATCCCACCGAAGAGAGTATGAAGCCCGCGGTCTATGTCGATATAGCGCTGGCTCACGCTTGGTCATGACAAAGCAGCTCGACTCATACCCTGCCCCTGGCTTCCACTACCGTCTCGTCAAAGAACAACTCCGCTCGTAGATATCCAGCCGACCATACCATGACCTCGTACGTTATCTTTGTCTGAAAAGTCACGCATGCGAGGACTCCTGACCGGTACTCACGTATGAATTCTCTGGCTCGTCGAAGGAACTCCTGTTCTGTCAGGTCCTCGTCTATGTGTGCTCTGAGTAAGACAATGACCGTGAAACCTTCGTCCACTAATTGCCGGCTTACATTAACCCCTGTAGTCGTCCGACCTGACATGCCTCCTATCGCTGGTCCTCGAACAGATACCTCAGCTCCTCCAAGCCAACGTACCTGTCCTCTACGAGTATTCGGCAATAGTCAATCAGATCGACCGGCCTCAAACAGTCTATCCAACAAGTGACATTGATCAGGTCTCTTAGCGTCTCCTTGTCCGATTGTCCCCACCTCACACAGATTGCGTAGTAAGCCTCCTTAAATCGAGGCGCTAGCCCTAACCAGAGCGTGTACAGCGTGTGGTTAACTGCTTTAGTCATACAGTCCACGCTCCCATAGGTTTGTTTTATTACAAAAGCGGGGACATCCAACTTCCAGCTCTCTATAGGATAGTAGATTGGGCGCGAGGGCCCGATTATGACGCGGACGGTCAACGGTCTCTCTCCTGCAAAACTCGTCAGTCGCCGTCTCACTATTGATTCCGCTAAGACTTCGTACTTCCACCAATCTTTGCTAACACCGGCGAGTGTGAGCCCTATCTCAAGGTCTCTTGTTTTCTCAAACACAAGATGCCCTATCCCCTCCAGTCGTCGGGGGATATCAAACCCTTTATCTTCTAAGATCACCGTCCACAAGAAGCCGCCCCTAGCCAACCAAGTACCAAAGTGCCGAACCAGTACGCTCGCTATCTCCTCTAAGCATACCGGAAGAGGAACATCGTACCCCACAGCCGTCTCTCTCGGCCCTATCAGCTTCCTCACTCTATAGGAGTTTGAATCGCGCGTTAGAACGTAAGCCGACCATACATCCGAGTCACTCCTCATCACGCCATCCGTCTCATGGATGCGAGTGCGAATGTCCCTAATCTCTGATCCGTGTGACCAACTCTATCATCTTGTGCCATCCATACCTAGATAGGTTTTTCCGTATGGCTTGAGGAGCCGAAATCCCTTCAAACACTTCGATCCCAGTATCCCAACTAACTACCTTCCCTTCTTGTTGTAATCGTACCACCTCTCCAACCACCAATCTAGCAGCGCTCTTCCAAGCCTTCTCACTCAGTCCCCCCCTTGCCCGGGTCGCAGGAATATAGTTTTGCACGTCGTATTCGTCTAGGCTAACAAAGCGATAGGTAAGAATATACATGCGCCAAGGATCTATCCCTCCTCCCTGGACATAGTCGTATGTAATGAGCTCGTATGGGAGAACATCTCTCCTTGTCTTCTCGTTCAGAGATCGTATGACGTCATTGATTTCCTCTCTCGTAGGGCCTCGTCCCTCGGTGAGTAGCTGGTCCCAATATACCCGTCTAAAGGACATGACATGTCTGCCCATCTGTAATCCCCACCATCGTCTCTACCTCTCTCCGAGCTTCTTTCTCCTTCCACCACGCGTAGCCTCTGTCACTGAACCTCGTCCGCGTCCAGCATATCCACATCAGCATCCTCACCTATCTCGCGCCCCAAGGGATATGCCTCTGCCCCTCGGCTCGGTGGAGGTGCCCCCAACGGTCGGCCCCACGCTCGTCAAGTCTCGGACCTACCCAAGGTTAACCCTGATCTCCCCAAGGCTCTATGTCCTCCAAATCCTCCCACTCTCTATCATCCGCATACCAGCCAAGGTCCTCTCTCTCCGGGGATATCCGCTGACAGTGCTCCTCAACCTCCTAGTGGGAAATGAGGAGGGCAGGTCTGCTATCACTAGTCTCGCTCAAAAGCTGCCTCACACCCTCTAAGTAATCCAAGGGTCTCTGAACCTCTCTCTCTAACTCTAACCAAAACTCTGGGGGCTGGTACGGGAAAGACAACTCGTGGTCCTCAGACGGTGTTAGAGCTCGAATGAACTCTATCAACTGGAGCCCTATCTCCCCAACAAGAGGCCCCGTGACGGACTGCGCGTAAGCAATCCAATCTCGGTCCGTCGGTCCTCTACCCAATCCATCCAACTCGAGGCTGGCAAAATAAGTCTCGGCAATGTGGCCCAGACCCCAGAGCTCCTCTGCTACAAAAGTCGGAACACCCACTCGCAGTCGCACTACCCTAGCTGGACCATACAAGCTCTCGACCTCCTTGCGAAAGCCCTCTGCAACATCTGACAGAATGACTCTTGCCTCCTGCTCACCTCGCCAATGATAATGGACTAGCCCCTCATAATAGACCGTCGCCCCTACCGTGCGAGAGTAATAAATGTGGCATGTTGCCTCTATACTCGTCGTCCCGGGTGCTCGCCACCGCTGGCTGTCCGACTCAAAACTCTCAACCACGTAGGTCTACAAGTATATGTCGGGCTTTAACAGCGTCGACCTCCACCGGGTCTGAAACCCGGATCCACATCCAACCACACTCTTGGGCGGTAGATCAAATTCTAGTATGCTGGGTGCCACGATCTCGGGGACTCTAGGCCATCTAGCATCACCGATGGGGAGTTCGACTCTGTCGACCGACTCTACCATCTGATCACACTCTGCAGCTACCCGACGCCGATGACTCGCTCCGCTCGATCGTCACCTCTCCGGCTCCGTACTATCCTCAACGTCACTCTCTTGTCAACAACCCTCCGATCCGAATCCTCCCTCGCACGTGCCGCTCCGCACCCTCTCCTAGGCCCTGACGGCGACTCCTATCCTAGGGAAGTGAGCGTCGGCCACGTCGAGCTCCTCTCCTGACTCAGCGCCCTCACTCTCGGAGTCGATCCAATCAGGCTCCCAGACCTCCTCGTCGTCGTCCCTGACCCACTTGTCGTCGTCCGACTCGTCTTCTATACGGTACGGAGGGAGTCCTATCACGCGATAATACCACGATAGTTGGTAGTCGTATATCAGAGGTCATGCGTCCTCACTCCACCAGCTGCCCCAATCCTCCGAGAAGAGCCTACCTATATAGGTGAAATACTCAGGCCCTGCCCGGAGCTCCCGATCCAACAGGTCCCACACGTACGAGGGCGGGGGCACGCCCCTCTCGCAATCGTCTCCTAGGAGCGTCTCAGCTCTATGAGCGGAATCCTCTCGTCCCCCCAGCGAAGTCTTGCAGTCGTGAGGGAGTAGTATATATAGCAAGTGTCGAGGTATCCTCCGCCTAAGAGCTCAAGCTCTTTGAAAGTGAGGTAAGCCTCAACCAAGCCACCCGCTCCTCCGAAAACTGAGCCTGCCACGAAAGCGGGGAGAACCGCTCTCAAGCTAGTCCCCGAATATGGAAAAAAAACGTATCGTGCTATCAGGAGATCCCCCGTGATAGTGAGGGGAGGTCGCCCGTGAAACAAGGTCAACGAGTCCTGCCCATCGTCTACTCGAAACGCGTCAACCTCCTCCTGTAAATATCGTGGGGCTCTACTGATGACCCAACTGGTCCCCCACGTCACGGGACTCAAAGCAGCCTCCTTAGCCGTCTCTTCCCCCAGGTATAGGTAGGCTCTTACTAATCCACCCATCAGGTCCCCCTGCTCTCCCCTCTGGTGCTCTCTGTACGTCCATAGCCAAGCACCGGAGGACAAGAGGACAGACCTCCACCGGAACTGGCCATCGTGCCAGCGAGTGGGTCGCGCGGGGAGCGTGAACTCCACTAAGTCCCCCTCTATAAGCTCGGAGGGTTCTACTTCCCATGCGCGATCAGCCTCATGCACCTCCACGTCCTCGAGCGGCCACATCCAATCGACACTACAGAAGTCAGAGACGGTGGCGTGAAGACAGAAAAGGAGTACTACAGCGTAAAGGAAGAATAAGAGGGTCGGAGGAAGGAGTAAGAAGTGAAAAGGAGTCTCAAATCGTGGGAAAAATTCGGTAGCGCTTCACCTCCCTCCGTTGGGATGGGGTGCGGGATGTCCTCCCTGAATAAGCCTTGTCTACCTAAGTCTTAAACATGCCCTAGAGTCGTCTAGATACTCGAGGCGCAGAATTCCGAACTCGAATTGGGCTGATAAGCGTTATACTCAAGTTCCCTCGAATATAAAGCGCGTGCACAGTTCGAGGGAATCTAGCCTACAACGCCCTCGAGCATCTGTTAGGTCAACCGATGTTGCGCCGTGCCCCCAAACCATAAACGAGAGTCACATGTGTTTCCCTTCCAAATTTCTTAACCTTTTCCTTATTTTTAGGAAATTTATATTATTCTAATTCTGCAAAAATTACTTGCGCCCAATAAGAATTCACTGCCCCGCATTCAACGGATAGGGAAAAGAGAGATAACCCCTAACGAGTAGCGAGGTAAGTTCGTTCTCAAATAATTGCAAAATAAATAATTTTTAGCACTGAAAATTTCCCTCACTTGCCTTAACCTTCGAGAATAGACCAATAGGTCCACTTGAACACAGATCACTTCTGCTGGTTCCCACTTCGTCCTCTAGGGGATTTTCTTGTATTTTTTGAATATAAAATATATTAAAAAAATTTGATAGGAGAAATTCCTTTTCTTAATTTAGTTATATTAAGACTCTCTCTATATATATGCTTGCCAAGTTTGAGGGGTTTTAGGGGTGAGAACTATTTTTTATTAATTAACTAAGATAAATTAAATTAAAATAAAAATTTCAAAAAATTTCGGCAGCAATTTTCCTCCCCCCGTTGGGATGGGGTTCAAGAGTCCCTCAAATATATCTTGTCCCGGATATATTTACACAAAATTTTCCGCAACAAAACGGAAAGTAGAAGC